TCCATTGTCACCTCCTCCCATTTCCACTCAGGGATATGTAACGAATGAAGAAGATCACTTGGTCGTTGATACTCCGCTTTCACTAACTAATTGGCCTCACACTTCAAAACAAACTCAGGTTTATCCTTCTTCAATCCATGCCACCAAAATATACCTTTCAAATCTCCGCACATCTTACTGCTTTCTGGATGAATATTGTAGCCTGAGTAATATGCATCATGTAAGATCTCATCTCTCATATCACCAACAGAAGGAACACATAATCTATCCTTATAAAAAATGACTTCAAAAATAGCTAAAGAGAGTTGAAGTCTCTTACCAACCTTAATCTAATCACTCAACTTTAAATACTATGTGTCTAATTTTTTTAGCTTCTTGAATACTTTCCTGTAGAGTCGACTGAATAATCATCTAAGCTAATAATTTTGGATCTATATCAGCATATACCACCTTTATCTCCAACTTGTCCAAGTCTTGAATAAGAAAGTCTACATAAGTAAGCAATGAAAGAGAAGTTTATGAAGACTTCCTACTCAATGAATCTACTACTACATTTGCCTTATCAGGATGATATTGAATAGATAGATCATAATCATTGATTAACTCTAACTATCTTGTTTGCCTCAAATTTAGATCCTTCTGAGTTAATATATATTTTAAGCTCTGATGGTCAGTAAAGATCTTGCATCTGACACCTTATAAATAATGCCTCCAAATCTTCAATACAAATACAACAATAGCTAGTTCAAGATCATGTGGTTGATAGATCCTCTCATGTGGTTTCAATTACTGAAATGCATAAGCAATCACTCTACTATACTGCATCTGCACACATCTCAAACCTCTAAATGATGCATCACTAAGAACCTGGAACCCCTTAGTGCCTAAAGGAATAGTTAAAATCGGAGCAGAAGTTAAATGATCCTTTAGCAGCTGAAAGCTCTCTTCACACTTCTTAGTCCATATGAAAGCTACTGACTTCTGAGTCAACCTTGTCAAAGGCAAAGAAATATGTGAAAACCTCTGAACATATTTCAAATAATAGCCAGCCAAGCCTAAGAAACTATAAACCTCTAGAACTGTAGTAGGCCTTGGCCAATTAGAAATAACCTGAATCATCTGGGGATCTAGTAAAATGCCTACACTACTCACTACGTACCCCAAAAATGAAATGCTTCTCAGCCAAAACTCACACTTTGAGAACTTAGCATAAAATTGAAGTTGCCTTAGAATCTCCAAAGTAGACCTCAAGTGTGTTGCATGCTACTCTTCAGATCTATAATAAATCAAAATATTATTTATAAAGATGATCACAAACTGGTCCAGATACTTCCTAAAAATCATATTCATTGAATCCATGAAGACTGTTAGGGCATTAGTCACTCCGCGAATGGCATGACTAAAAGCTCATAACGCCCGTACCTCATGCTAAATGTTGTACTCACCACATCCTCTGCCCTTACCTTCAATTGATGATAACCATATCACAAATCGATCTTAGAAAATATTGAACATCCAGCTATTTGATTAGATAAATCATCAATCCTATGAAAAGGATACTTATTTTTATAGTGACTTTGTTCAACTTCTTGTAATCAATACACATTCACATCGTCCCATCCTTTTTCTTAACAAATAGAGCAGGTGCTCCCCATAGAGACACAGTAGTGTGGATGAATCCCCTGTCAACTAACTCCTAAAGATGAACAGTCAACTCTTGAAGCTCCTTAGGCGTCATTCTATATAGAGCTTTAGAGATCAAAGCAGTACTCATAAAAAGAATGATATAGAACTCTATCTCTTTGTCTCTCGATAAAGTCACTAATTCATCTAGGAAGAAATCTAAAAACTCTCGAACTATAGGGACACTACTTATAGAATCAGATGAGAGTCTCACATATCTGATAGATGCTAAAATTAAATACTAGTCTACCTTTCCTCCAAAGTTTATCCACTTCTATAGCAGAAATCAAACAAGAGAGAACACATCTAATTCCATGAAATACAAAGCTCTCACCATTCTGAAACAAAGTCACTTTCTTCTTCAAGCAATCAATCTGAGCCCCATATCGACTCATCCAGTCCATACCTATCACAACTTCTGGGGACTCGCTGGCCTCTTGTTGCGTCAGACTGTTACTCGTGGATGCACTGGGGTCAAACCAACAAAACCACCTGCACCTCACAAACCTCCAGAAGGTTGACCTCTTAATATTGAACCAACATCCCAGGTACAAAAAGCCTCAGTATATGGTCAAGGTGGTACTGCCCTCAGCCTATCCATAGTCAAATACGTAGAGCCTATGAAATTAGAATGTCTACCAAAACTAACTTGTGGATACTCAATAATCCTAAGTCCAAACTTACCACAACAAAAAACACATGTTTGATGCTCTATAGCACTTACCACTATGCCTTCCACCACACTACTGACATAATGGGGCCTCACTCACTGAACCCCCTGAATTAATAACACTACCTCTATCTGATCCTGAATAAATTATTATTAGTTGTCCCCTCCTTCTAAACTCAACAGGTCCAAACTTATTCTTCTTCCTATAATGGCTACTAATAGCTGTCTCACTACCATATCTCTTCTTGCTTGCAATCCATCGCTACTACACTGCTACCATATCAGTCTTTATCCTCTTAACCTTCTCTACCAAATGAGCAAAGTTTGTGATATCCTATGTCAATAATGGTTGCCTCAAAGCATATCAGAGTCCCTCTAGAAATCGATAGCACTGCTCCATAGAAGTGTCAACTAATTATGGAGTATACCATGAGAGAGAAGTAAACTATACCTCATACTACATCACTAGCATGCTTCTCTGAATCAACTTCAGAAAAGAGCTCTGTAACTGTCTCCTTATTGATTAAGGTATAAACCATGTCCTAAATCTCTTAGCAAACTCATCCAAAGTAATCAGGGTATTTGCACGACCCTGAAATCTCTCTCTATTAGTCCAACCACTAGTGCTCTATCTCACCATTAAATAAAAATTTAGCTAATGCAATTCTCCTCTTAGAAGGATAATGCATCCCATTCATAGTCTTCTCTATCCTCATCAGTCAATCCTCAATTCCTTTAGGCTCAATAACACCTAAAAGTCTAGGAAGCCGTAATCTCATAAAATTCTGTAAATATATGTCCATGTTATCATATGGGGTACCAACAACCTATGTATGAGCCTCACCAACTAATTGTACTATTATACCTGCAATCTGAGAAATCGCCTTAGAAGTGTTCACGGGAGTTGTACCCTGAACCTGAGCTGTCTGTCTAGAACTCTGACCCTTGGTCATATCTGGATCTAATTTAGGCGAATTAGCCATCTCAAAACACACAACTAAATGCAACAAATATATATAAAAAAATAAACAAAATGAAAACTACCCAGAAGTATCTCACTCTTATACATATTAAATCATATGGCTCTTTTACAATTCACTTCTCCAACCTATGTTTTGATACCAAAAAGCTTGTCACAACCCAACTTGATGTGACCTGATATCACATAGGTCATACCATATCTGATTGTCGCAAGACTAATCCCAATATTTGGTTGGAGAAGTACTGGTGGTACCAAAACCCTTATTTATACTATTAGGTGCCAATTTCTTAAAGAATTTTACCAATGTCTAAAAATTATGAAAAAATTAGGGAAACTAAAACAAAATAATAGAGATATTTTGAATAAGATGGTTTATGATTTAGTCTTATAATGACTTCTGAATAAATTATTGATTGTTGTAGGTCAAAATGCAATTTTAAAAATTTTAAGTTATAACATGTTGATTAATGTTTTGAATTATGGAATCCGTTTTTCTATTTATCACTTATAAATGATATTAGATAGCTATGGTTGTTATTTATTAAAAGATTAAATGAATAATTCTTCTAAATTAGATTCTGGGGCATTACACAAGCGAACGTGAACGCTCAGATATTGGATCAACTTAGGAGATTGAGAGAGCAGATTGGCAAAAATCAACTTGCGCTATTACGTCGCCAAAGTATAAGAGAAAGGATACAACGAGCGATTAGATATTATTTGTGTAGAGGTTTTGTTGCATTATATTTCTTTTGATGCATAAGAACTATTGTAACTTGGATTGTTATTACTATTTGGATTGTTATTACTTTTGATAACTATTTTATTATTATTGCTTGAATTAATGTTATTGTTTGTTATTGTTGGATTGTTGTTATTGTTGGAAAGCTCAATAAATGATTGTATGATTTTTTTTCTTTTTATTACAGTATTATAATGGATTTGTGGTGGAATTTCTATCGCAAATGTCAATACGATGATCGAGTATCAACATTTGTGATGGAAATTCCATCACAAACTGTGGTGAATTTGTTGCAGTTACCAGCCGCAAATCTACCACAAAATATTTGCGATGAATTCACTCCATCGCAAATAAGTTTTTGACACGCATTTTACCATCGGATACCAATCCGTCACAAATCCGTCACAAACTAGTGTTTGTGATGGATTTGAAGAGATTTGCGGCGAATTTTTCCTCCGCATGTAATTAATTTTCTTGTAGTGATTATTATTTCAACAAAAATTTGGATGATTTCTCTAACTTATATTATAAGTGTTGGAGTAGGTATCATTAGCTCTATTATTTATTGAATTAATTGATTCTACTACTAAGATATTAGAATCACTAGAAACTCCATAAATCCTTTGTGATCTTATGTGAATTTTGAGGTGAATTAATTCCAAGGTTATCTAATTATCTAGAAGTTGTGGCTACTTGAGCAGTTAATATCGATAAGGCATCAGTTTCATAAATGCTATCCACTTTTCTAAGATTAATTCTTTTAGAGGATCATTGAAAATTATTGGTAAATATCTCCTCAATCAAAATATAAGCCTGATCAAAGGGCTTTAACATTAGGGAACCACCAACAACGGCAATAATAATTGATCTAAAGGAATCTATCAAAGCCATTATAAAAAGTTTGGATTATTAACCAATCATGAAGGGCATGATAAGAACATTTCCAAATAAGTTCCTTAAATCTTTCCAACAATTCATAAATAGATTCTCCATCTAACTAGGTAAAGGAAGTAATGTCATTTCTAAATTTGATAGTTTATTTATAGTGGAAAATATTTAGCTAAGAACTTATGTGCTAGCTCATTCCAAGTTGTTAATGAGCATTGGGGAAATGAATTTAGCCACATTTTAGTTTTATCCCTAAGTAAAAATGATTAAAAAAAATTAAGTCTAATAGCATCATCACTAACATCGTTATATTTAAGGGTTACATAAATTTCTAGAAAATTAGATATGTGTAAATTAGGGGCTTCTAAAGGTGTTCTCCCAAATTGAGAGTTTTGCACCATTTGGATAATACCAAGTTTTAATTCAAAATTACTTACTTGTATGTTTGGTTTGTTTATACTTTGATAAAAATCCTACGCCATTTGGTTGGAGTATTCCTTCAGTGGTATAGTAGCTCATTTTCATGAATTTTCTTTTCAAATTTTCTAACCTTTCTAATTCTTTTTAATGTTCTTTCGATTTCAATGTCAAATAATAATTCTACTGGTTGTTTAATACTACACATGTAACATTAAGTACCATAACAAAAAATGTAAAGCACTGAGCAGTAATAGCCAATCAGATTTCAAAGTAATGTTAAGCAGATGAAAATTCAAATAGATAAAAACTAAATAGAAAACTAGATTAAACTAACAATTCTTTCAACAATTTAAAATGTAAAGCATAATAATAATTTTATTAGTTTTGCTCCCGACAACAACGCCAAAAACTTGATGCGAGTGTTGTGTCTCTATAGACACACACAAGGATTTACTTATATTTATAGTCACTAATCAGATGTCAAAGGAAAGTTCAATTTTTCTAAAGTTTAAATCTTGTTTGGAGTGCAAGTGCACATTATCATATTAGTAATAAAATCATAAATAGAGTATCAATCCCATGAGGAACAACTAGAAATATTGTATGTTCACTCTAATATTGCTTATTGGACTGTTATGTTCATCTAGTGAGCTAATTGAAAGGTGTTGGTAGTTCTAAAAGTAAAAAACTTTAAAAGTAGGAATAAGAGATTTCTTATTTGTATAAAATCTGAACCTATGAATCATCGATAGAACATGATTGCACTACATAGGGTTATTTCATATGGTTGTTGTGGATAGAGTAATTTTGCTCATCGCCTCTATCAAGCTTGTCGAAGCATAAGCTATGATCCTCACTAACTACAACTAAATTATATCCTTAAGACCCAATAATCAGAACCACCATATGTCTATGTTATGGTCGGACTATGTTTTACATACGTGGTTGTTCTTCTATTCCTCCATTGAGACTCTAGATACTCTAGATCAAACTATGTTTTTAATTTATGTACTACCTATACATAAACCAATTTAAGTGCGGAGAACTTAAAAACCACATGGAGATAATAAATATTAAACCCTACTCTAAATAATATATACTTTTAATTCATCACATATTTAAAAAAGATGATTACTGCATATGGAGGCGTTGAAGCTTATAATAAACACAACAAATATTTTCAAATAATAACTAGTTCACAAATACAAAGGATATAAATTAAAATACAAGAAAGTAAAGTTTGGAAATAACTCAAAAGTAATGCTACAATCCCTTACTTGCTCCTTTGTTTTACTCCACTTAAATATATGACTCAAGTGCAATAAACACAAGCTACACACTCCCCTATACAACTCTCACACACTCACAAAATGACACTACAAATAACCCCTCCAAGTTTCCAACCTGCCCTAAGGAATAAGGTGACTATTTATAGTTTTCGTTCTTTTTCTGAACTAGCGCTACAGCGCTGGCATGGTGGTACTGCAACATTGCTGAACAGGCACATCGATTCACCAATAGTCACTTCGGTTCATTTGTTCAACCAACTTCTGCTATGGAACTGGGTGATTTGTCATTGTGGTGTTACGACGCTGAGATATGACACTATATTGAGTTCTGGCGTTGCGGCGCTAGTTCAGTTTTTTGAATTTCTAATAATTTCCTACACAAAATAATATAATCATAGAAAAAAACTTAACAATTTTTATCTTATCACAATCCTACATGAATCATTCTTAATCATATTAGTCATGTTGTCAAGAATTAGTCGCAAATCACATATCAAAGGAGAAGTGGTTTTCAGGTAAGAAGTCGTCACTTATTGCCCGTCAACCATATCATATTATATCAATGAGTCTCATTATACCTCTATTTTCATATCACTAAGGATTAATCCACGAACCCTATTTAAAGGAAAGATTATCGGCCCACCCTCTTATACAGGGTAAATTGCTTCTAAATAAGCTGAATCAGTCAATCATTTTTTGTCAGTATTTCTTGTCATTTTATACTCAATATTATACTATTCATTTAAAATAAAATAACATATAAACAAAATCACCAAGTGAAATTTTAATATTAACCAGTCAAAATGTTCAGGGTGATGATATCTAACTACATATCAAAGGTTATTGAGTGAAAAAACACTGAAATAGTGGATATTGCATTTCAATAAATTTCATAGAGAAAAATAGGCAAAATATAAAATCATTGAAAACATAGATAGGGTTAGGGTTATTTATCACGATCATAATACTTTTCTCAACTAGAGCGATAAAAAAATTGCAGCCTGAACCCTATTTTCTCTCTCCTTTTCTTCTTTCACTCTCTTCTTTTCTCCCTTTCTCTCTCGTGAAAATGGGGAAAGGGGAGAGAGATGGTTCTCTCACCCAGCAAACGCCAAAATGGGGAAGGAGGAGAGGTGTGGTGAGGGTTTAATATAATTGGTTTTTTTAATTTTTATTAGAAAAACAAACTTTTTTTATATTTTTATTAGGAAAACAAACATTTAGACCTAGCGAAGCAACGTTCCAAACTAAGTGCCATAATGCGCCCTAAAAATTCTAGAAAATTCCAGAGCTTGGCGTTGTAGCACTCACTAAGCTAATTTCTTGGAATTTAGGGAAATTAAATCTTGAGGTTATTAGATGTATTATGCATCGTTCACTAAATAGTAATTAGGGCACGAGGAATTAAAACTTACATGGCAAAATTAATTCTCTGTTAGATGTATTACTTAACAGAGAAAAATAATTCAGGCAGAGAGGTCCATCATGAATCTGGCATTGACAACAAAAAGGAGAAATCTTATAACTATAAATTATCATACTTCATTGCTGTTCCAAATAGAAATTGAACAATTTAGTAGATTTACCATTAGAATGACACAGAATAACAACAACAACAACATAAGCCTTTATCCCACTACGTTGGGTCGGAAACATAAATTCTTTTTCTCCATCGTGTCCTGCTAAAAATCAAATTCTCGTGTAAATCTAATAGAAAAAGATTATTTCTAATATTTTCTAATCAAGACTTTTTAGGTCTCTCTCTCTCTTTCTTAACATAAGTCAAATCTAATACCTCTACTTTCCTAACCGGATCATCGGAAAGCCGTCATTTTATGTGACCAAACCATCTAAGGCGACTCTCTCTAATCTTATCCTCCACCGGAGCTACTCCAACATTTTCACGAATATACTCATTTCGTATCCTATTTCTAAGGATAAAGCCACTCATCCACCTGAGCATCCTCATCTCTACAACACTTAACTTAGTAATAGAATGATAAAGAATAATCATACTAAAATTACATGTGTTTGCATAATAATTTCATGCATGTTTAACAAAAATTTTACAACCAAAAGAATATTATGCTAAGCTAATCGTGTTTATTTCACTTAGAGAGTGTTCTAAGGCCTTCTTCCAAATCTTCCATGGTGATTGTAACGAGGTTTTCAGCATCAAAGCAGTCAAAATCTAGCCTGAGATCCAAATTCTCCCGAGCATTGGCAAGTAATGGATCAATCAGGCCTCCATTCATCTCCTTGCGCTGTTTCTCAGTGGTTCCTTTGTAGATAAGATCAGCCACTGCCTCTACAGTACACAATGGGTGAAGCTTGAAGCCATAAAGTGAACTGTTTGGTTCTTGAAAATTCATTTTCAAGTGTAGAATTTGAGCAAGTTCAGCTGTAGTAAAGTCATCGAAGTTAAAGAACTTGGTAACTCTTCTGCAAAAGCCCTCATTTGATGCGATCACACGCTTCATTGGCTCGCAGTATCCAGCAAATACGACCACAATCTTCCCATTATCCATAACAGACATAATTTCTTCTAGAGCCTCTAAGCCATAGTCTTTGTCATCTGATTTCTGTGCTGGTATCAACCTGTAGGCCTCATCGACAAAAAGTATTCCTCCCTCTGCTTCTCTTAACTGTAAAAAAGATTGGCAATTTTAAGGTTATATAGATATAGGTTTTGTTTGGGACAGCTTTCTTACTGTTTCTTAAAGCAGCATTTTAGTACAAAAATTTAAATTTTTATACTAGAAAGTTGTTTTAAGAAGTAGTAAGAAATCCGTCCCAAACGAAGCCATAGTGATTCCACTAACAAGTATATTAGGCCGTTAAGAAATGAATCATCATAATATTTTTCTAAAGAAAAGGTAATTTTTTTACTATATTACCTTCTTCCTTGTCTTTGGTCCTGTATGGCCCACAAATTCTCCAACCAAATCAGTTCTCTGCACTTCGGTCACCTTATCTGTTGGTAGAATTCCAACCATATGAAGTAGTTTGCCAAGAACACGAGCAACCATGGTTTTACCTACACAAATTGATTAAGCTTCACATAAGACCACTAAATGATTCTACTTGATACATGAAAGTGCTAGAGGATTTAAATATTAATCACATAAGTTTGACACGCACAAAAAACTAATAAAAGCAAACAAATAAAGAAAGCAAACTACGAATGCATGGGTGCGTATATGCAATAATTAATTGTATGTTATGTACGGAGCAAAAGCTCAAAATCACAATTGATATTACTTAATTAAATTGGAAATCTACGACTATAAAAAATGATAAAAAAAATTCCAGGAAATATACTGTAAAAATCAATATTAGTAAAGAGGGTATATTGTACAATATAAAAACATAGACTTTCCATAAGATAGTGTACAATATAAAAACATAGACTTTCCATAAGATAGGGATGTGATTAATACATTTAGCTATAGACGTAAGGAAGCATAACATTTTGCTCGTCTTAAGCGAAGTGCAAACTGTAAGCTTCATTCATAAGCATAAAGATTCCAAAACCTTGTACTTCCAGTCCATAGTTCCAGGGAGTTCATGGAGAGATTCAATTTGGATGCAAGACAAGGATCAACAGCATGAAATTTTCAAAACAATGATTACATATCGATAAAATGACCAAAATGATCCCTCAACTATTTGGGAGGGACTAAAATAATCCCCAACTTTTTTTAAGGACCAATTTGATCCCTCAACTCTTTAAAATGGAGCTTTTTTTATCATAACATACAATATTAGAGTTAATGGTGTTAAATATAAGAGTATTTTGATCATTTTTAATTAGACATTTATTAAATATAATTTTCAAGTAATTCCTCTGATGTTTATGTATAATTAGCTTAAGTTTTGGTGAAGTAAGGAATTGATCACAAATTTAACAGATGGAGTATTACTTAAACATGATGACAAACTTTAGAAAATATTATTGTGAGAATGGGAAGAACATGATGATTGTCATGTGGGAAATTTAAAAGCATGTATGGGGATGACTTCTGATATGTAATGAGAAAATGAATTTCAAAAACTCCCCCCAAACTCTTTGAGGGAAAAATTAATTAGTCAACCCAACTCTATATTAAAATGGAGGACCTGTATTTGTGAAAAAAAAAAAAACACCTGAAACATTACAAAAATGTTGAAGTAATGGTGTAAATGTAAGAAGATAGATTTGGTAAATTTTTAATTAAACGAATTTATAAATAAAAAAAAAAACAAAATAATAAAAATAATCTTCATCATTTT